AACAACAAGTCATGTCCTTCTAATGTCAACAATCTAGAATTTCTTAATGTTATCTATTCCTTAACCCACATCAGATTTGTAGCTTGATACTATAACTTCCAATTAGGCAGACCAAATCCTCCTCTTATTCTAGCTTCTTCCAAAAGTTTTAATTTTATTTTCTTTTTCTTACCCTGCCATATATATTTCAACACAATTTTATTTAAATCTTCAAAGTAATCTCTCCCTAGCCGAATTGGAATTGTTTGAAACAAATATAAAATTCTGGGTAATATATTCATCTTGATTGTTGATAATCTCCCTATTAATGATAATTGTAAGTTTTCCCATTTTGCCAAATCTATCGCTATCTGTTGCTTGAGTTTAATATAATTATTCTCTTTAAGTGTGCTACATCTTGCTGTCAAATGTACCCCCAAATACTTTTTATTTGTGACCTGAATTTTCAAAACATCCGCCAATTCTTCCTTTTGTCTTAATAACATATTCTTTGTCAAAATCTTTGTTTTATCTTTATTTATTTTCAGACCAGCTACCCTTCCATATACCTCTATCTTTTCTATCACTTTTGATGCTGTTTCTAATGGATCTTCTAAAATGAAAACCAGATCATCCGCAAATGCTTGCAATTTAAATTCTTACTTTTTAATTATCATCCCTTTTGTTAGGGATACACCCTAGCAGAACCTGCACGGCAGTCAGGCAGGCAGGCAAAATATGTGAGATAAACGTTTTTGTAGCTTACACTCAGTAAAACAGATACACCGTGCTAGTTAAATAGTTTATTCCAGTAAGAGTTATAGCATAGTCAAACAGTCCATATATCATTCACTAATTCAGTCCATCCAGGGATTATTCAGTTGCAAATTCCAGTGTCGAAAAAGAGAGGTCAGTAAACTTACAAATATCAGTCCAGGAATATATCTCCTCGCAATAGAGATATGAAGAAGTCAAAACTCCTTTCTTCCTCTAGCGTTCAGCAACTCAGCAGTAGGGAAACATGCAGTTAACAAACCATCAATCCATACAATCCAGTAATTGTCAGGTTCTCTTGCTCCCTCTTATGGCAGTTCAACACCGCACCCAAAATTACATGCTTTGCAGTTTAAAGTGGCACACACTTAAACTTACAATCATAGTTTATATATATTATTTTACCCAAACTACGTTAGGTAACCTATGTTATTCCTAACACCTTTTATATCCTTTTCTTCTCTAATATTTCTATTTAGCACTTTCAAAGTTAACACAAACAACAGAGGTGACAGAGGGCAGCCTTGTCTTGTTCCTTTTCTTATATCAATAGAATCTGTCAATTCTCCCTCTATCATTACCTTTGCTGTTTGCGTATGATATATAGCTTCTATTGCATGGATAATTTTTTTTACCAAAGCCCATCTGCTCCAATTGTAGTAACATAAATTGCCAATTCACATTGTCAAAGGCCTTTCTGTGCATCTAAAAATATCAAAGCCATTTGTTTTTCAGGATGTGCCTCATAGTGTTCCAAAGTATCCAAAATTATTCTCACATTGTCTTTAATTTGTCTCTTTGGCAGAAATCCATTTTGATCAGGATGAATAAAGTTATTGAAGTATTTTTTAAGTCTTTCTGCCACTATTGAAGCAAAAATTTTATAACCTGAGTTTAATAGGGAAATAGATCTATAGTTCTTGATTTGTAGTGGGTCGGCGTCCTTCTTTGGGACAAGTGTAATGTAAGCTTCTGACCATGATTTGGGTATCCTCTTCTTTGACATAACTTCATTCATAACTTCTAACAATGGGAGATTCAATGATTCTTTGAATGTCTTATAAAATTCTGCTGAGAGTCGATCTGGACCTGGTGCATTTCCATTATTTTGCTTCTTAAGTGCTTCAGTTAACTCCATCACCGTTATATTGTTTTCTAGCATTATTTCAATCTCTTTAGGTATCTGGGATAAGTTAGCATTCTGTAAGTACTGTTTAACTCTTTCATCATCAATATTCTCTTGTGTGTATAGTTTCCCATAATAATCTCGTATGATTTCCTTCTTCTCTTTACTTCCATAGCAAGCTTGGCCTTGATAATCTATTAATTGCAATATTTCCTTGATTCTCTCTCCTTTCTCAGTTTATATGCTAACCATCTACCTGGTTTATTTGCATCTTCAAAATAGTTCTGCTTCGCACCTCTGATTTTCTGTGCTAATTCTTCTTTTTCCATTAATCCCATTTTATGTTTAATTATATCCATTTTTTAACTTAATGTCCTTTTTCTGTGGCATTTTCTGTAACTCTTTTTCAAGTCCTTTATACTCATCCTCTAATGTCTTAGAGGCAAGTCTTTTTGTAATATTTCTTTTCCTTGTGTAGTCCATTATCAAGTCTCTGGCATATGCCTTCATTGTATCCCATACATTCTGCATTGATGTGTCTTCTTTTTCATTTTCTTTAAAGAAAAAAGCCAGTTCTTTCTCCATTCTCTGTGTAAAGTCTTTTTCTTTTAGTATAGTGTTATTTAATGTCTATCTAGATCTTCTTCTTTGTCCTTTCCATTTAATTGTCATTGGGTTATGATCTGCCCAGGTACTTGTTTCAATATCTATTTCTTGGAGATTAGCGATCAATTCTGTTGACATCCATATCGTATCTATTCTGGACCATGATGAATGTCTGTTTGAATAGAAGGTATATTGTTTGGTCTTAGCATTTCTTTCTCTTCATGCATCTTTTAAATTTATTTCATCTATCATTTTAAAAAAGGATCTAGGGAGAGTCTTTCTGCTTTGCTTTATTGTTTTCTGTGTTGTATAGTCCAATTTATTGTCTACTATTCCATTGAATTCTCCTATCATACAGATATAACATAGTCCAGTTCAATTATTTTCATATGTAATTTTCTATAAAATTCTTCTTGATTTTCATTTGGAGCATAGATTGCTATCAGGAGTGTTTTCATATTGTTGTCCATTATTTCCACCATTAAGAGTCTTCCATCATCATTTGTGTGGATCAATTTTGCCGGAATAGTATCTTTGATGTAAAAGACCACTCCTCTTTTCTTGCATTGTGTCAAAGAAGTAAATATTTTCCCTAGCTTTGGCTGTATCAATAGTTGTTCATATTGCTTTTTAATATGTACTTCTTGTAGGCAGATTATATCAAATTTTAATTTCTCTAATTTATGGAAAGTTTTCCTTCTTTTAACAGCTGAATTAAGTCCATTTATGTTAATTGTAATCAATTTTTCTCTTCCATGATTATACTTTGTAAGTAGGTTTTGAAGCCCTAGTAGATCTTGGTTCTCATTGTTCTCTAGCTTCCACCTTTCTGCCTACTGCATCTTCTTCTTTTTCAATCGCTACTTGACAGTCCTCTTGGAATTCAACTAATGACATTTCTTTTTCTGTCTCCTCCTCTTTCCCTCCGAAGTATTCTGTATAAAATAATTCTGCTTTCTCAATTGAATCAATTCTGTGTCTCTGTTCCTGCCATGTAAACATTAAACCTTCTGGTATCAACCATCTATAATTCACCTCTTTTTTGAGTAGTATTTTAGTCAAGAATAGATACTCTCTTCTCATCTCTCTCACTCTTCTGGGTACTTGTTTCAAAACCACAATCTCCTTATCTTTATATTTCAATGTTTTCTCTCTTGCCACCAGTAATATTTGCATTTTAATAGCTTTCTTTATAAATCTAATGTGAACTTCTCTTGGTAAACTATTTCTCATAGTGTATCTTGTGAAAACTCGAAAAATCTCATCTATTCCATCCATCATCTTCTCTTTAGTTATTTCCAGAGCCTCAGCCAAGATTTCTATCATTATCTCTGCCAGAAGGGGCAAAACACAGAAATATAACTTGTCAGTCATTCATTGGTTACTTGAAACACAGCTTTCCCCCTCCCCTGTTGCTAGGCTAGGATGGCTGGATGTCACAAACCCATCTTACTAAACTCCCTAGCTTGTGGTTTTGTTACAACCGAGACAAGGTTTCTTGGCAAATATGACTTTGTGACAGATAGATGATCCTTGTAGCTTGGCTTTTCACACTTCCTTGTTCTTTCTCTTGCTAATACCACATATTTCACTTTCTATAAAACTTGTATCATTATTTCTCTAAAATTACTATATTTTTATGTCCTGCCTTAATATCAGTGTTTTCCAAAGCTTTAATGTTAAGCTTTATAACTGAAGAATTACAACTTTTTATAATTACAATTTTTATAAGATGATGTATCACTTGTATTTAACACCAGATAAGCTATTAAGATGTATAAAGGTATGGCAAATGAATTTTGGAAATGTAAGAATAAAGAAGGGACTTTTTATCGTCTATGGTAGACATGTGATAAAGCAAAAAACAAAATTGGAGTTATGATTCACACTCTAATACAGAAAATCCTGAAAATGGAGTTAGAAATGAAACCAGAATTTTTCCTTTTGGGACTAGAAGAAGTGGAGAAAAAGGAACTTTGTTCCTTTTGGCATCAGGTGCCCCCTGACATATGTGACATCGAGCTGGCCAAACATCATATCTCCCTGAGGTAAAACACAACCCTGATGCCACTCTCAATGAAATTGAGTATGACACCCCTGTTTTAGACAGTCAAGGGCTACAGTAGACAATACAGTAGGTATTACTCAAGAGGAATGTGACTCAACTCCCTGGACGTTTTTGTTCTGGTAGATTAACCCAGCAATAGATGAGTTAAGCCCATCAGAGGTTTAATGCATTCCCATTTATTTTTCGCCTAAAATTTACAAGAAACCCCATCAGCATAATTATACAGTTATAATTCTACAGTTCACTATCATGTTTTGGTGTTACATATCTTGGGAAGCTTGGATCTCACCTACATTTTTCACACAGTGGCTTTATTGGTTTGTGTTGGGTAAGGAGGCGAATGCATTACATTCAGGAGTTGGCAAAGGCAGTTTGTAATATATAAATGTCCTAAGAACTCTGGTAGATAATTAGAAAATGAAAATTATATCTGGATTTTTTTTCTAGGTTTCAGCGATTTTTGCATCTCATTCTTTGCCTGGCAGGTCTTACTCTGATAGGATTCTTTCAATACTTTGTTACTGAGGATGCCAGGTAAGTGCATTTCTAAAACAAGTACAATAGAAATGACATTTCCCTTTAAAGAATACTGACATTGAGCTACTGAATTGTAATGAAAAGAAAGTTCTAAGCTGAATTGATCCATCAAGTGTTTTTTAACAACCAGTTCTTTGGGTGTCTTCTTCTTCTTCTTCTTCTTCTTCTTCTTCTTCTTCTTCTTCTTCCAGCAACCACCTGGTTTTGGGCCTCTTGGGCCCCAGGGAAACCTCCTGGGGGGTGTTTTTGTTGCTAGAAGGCTTCCCTGGGGCCCAGGAAGGCAAAAAATGGAGCCAGGGGGGTGCAGCATACACACCCCATTCTCCATTTTGGGGCCTTCTGGGCCTCAGGGAAGCCTCCTGGGGGGCATTTTTGCTCCCAAGAAGCTTCCCCCTCACAACATCTTCACCTGAGGGCATTGCTGGCAGCCACTCAGCCTCTTTGATGCACAAAGGCAGGATGCAACACCAGTTCAGAGGTTCCTTTCCCCCCACCCCCACCCCGTCACAGGCCAGGGAACACCGGGGAAGGGCTCCGATGCTGCAATCTCCTGCATGTTACCCTCCATCCCTGTGCACATCAGTCCATCCGCTGCTGGTATCACCCCTGTTGCAGACACAGGTGTGTTGCAGACCACTAAAATTTTCTCATGGACTACCAGTGATCTGTGGACCCCTGGTTGGTGACCTCTGGTCTACAAGGTGATGTCCATTCAACTTGTATTATTTTCTGATTTTTTTTGCCAATATGTAAGACAGAGCATTTATTTGTTGAGATTTGAAATTTCCACTTGTTTGACCATTCTAACACATAGTCAACTGACCTAATGTTCAGTCTACAGCTGTTATCAGCCTTTAAATCAAACTCCATAAGGGAGAAATGAAACACAGAGGCAAAATGGAGATTGCCCTCCCTTCTTGTAAAAACCCTCATGAGGAGAGAAATCCACTCCCCTTATTAGCTCTTTGTTTTGGTTTTCCTTCCCTTAACTTTATCTTGACTGACAGATCAGCTAGTTTGTTTGATTCTTTTAATGTGAGCATCTTAAAATAGGTGTTTCTCACATTCATTACAACTCTGAACAGTCTGTTCATACTTTGTACAAAAATCACATCTAGCTTCTTATTATTAAAGTACAAAAAAGGCATTGTATGTTAATTACATCGTTTAGGGCTCATAAATGCCACAGACAATTCACAAACTAGAAACTTCCAGCTTTCAAACATAGGTAGACACAGGACCAATTGTAATGTGTCAGAGAAATAAAAGCAGATCAGACTAAGCAAAGAAGCACAAAGGAAAACAAGGAAGATCATGGCAGTCATAAGAAATAAATTACCAAGTGGGAAAGAGTTTCTAAATATTTTTCCTTCATTATATATTGTGTATTTATCTAGGTACAAGCCTCCTTCCAAAATCTGTCAACCCATCACAGATGTCATGTTCCTCAAGACCCACAAAACAGCCAGCAGTACAATACTCAACATCCTCTACCGATTCTCAGAGAAACATAATCTCACCTTGGCTTTACCCTATGGAAATCACCCCCATCTTGGCTATCCTAATCGCTTCCAAATATCTTATGTTGAGGAATTCAAAACATTGGCAAATAAGTTCAACATCATGGGCAATCATTTAAGGTTTAATTGGCAAGAGGTAAGAATATAGAAGTTATTTTGTAAAGTTTCCATTTTTTTTATTCCAGCTTTTGTCTGTTGGAGAAAAAGGTCTTTGTAGGAGTCATTGTTGCTGTTAATCGGTGCTGATGCTTAATTTGGAATTTGCAAAGAATGACGAGATTCTACAACAGTAACAAATCTTTAAAAGGGGTATTAAGAAATTGTCTTGGAATGTACTTACAGCATTAGAAGATGATGATGCATGACCTCAAAGAGCTAGATGAGCCTAAACAGCAAAAGTTTCTGGAACTCTACTCATGAGGAAGCTAATAAAAAGGCAAACCTCATAGTCCTTTTCCCCTACTCCCCCTTCTTTGGTATGTTTACCCAGCACTGGGATAATTAGCAAAAAGGGAATTAATGTTGGTATTTACATTCATTGGAGAGGAAGTGGTTATAAGGTAAGGTAAGGTAAGCAGGAACATCATGGGATATATATACATCGAAAGGAATGCACTAGTGAGGACTGCTTAAGCAATCTCTCCATTCTATGCAGGGGGAAGAAAAAAACAGGACAGTACACAGGACAGACATTAAGCCCAGTCCATTTTTGTAACCTCCTGTAACTCTACCCCAAAATTTGTACAACCAAATTTCAGCAACAAAATGCCAGTTTTGAATGACATAATTATTTAGTAAACAATTTAAGATCTCAAATTAGATGTATTAAGTCTCTGTGATGATGAATAATCCTACTCTCTATTGTTCTCTGAATAAGCATCTAAAAAATGCAAATACATCCACAAAAATTTAGCTCCATGGACTCTGGTAATATCCTCTTCTCCACAAACTCCATAGCCTCCAAAGGCAAATTTTTTAAAAAAAAACTTCAAAGAATTGCTAGTTCCCCTTATATATCTGAAGGAGTGCAATTTGGAAAAATTGAGTCACTTTTCTTTTTAAAATATCAGCTTCATCCATCTGTCTCACCCTCTCATTGAGCAGTATGCAGTATTTAAAGTACTTTTCCATAGAAAGTTCAGAGGAATGAAACAAGCTCATTCAGCAAACTATATTGTGTTTAACTATGCACACAAACTATATTGTGTTTATTGTTAAGTATTATTGATTTCTAAACATATTGTTCTGCAAATAGAACAAATACAGCATTTGATTCTGTAGTCTACAATAGCCAGCACCTATAGTTCTAATAAATGGAGACCCCTTTTTATATTTCCCTCTTCCCTGCTTGCTTCAAGTCTCTAAGAATGAAGCTGATCTTCTTCTTAATTTGTTTCCAATTATGTGGTTGGTGTGATAATTAATGAGAGGTCTATGGGAAGGGCCTCCTCTCCAGAATAAAATATTCTGCATAATATTAAAAGAGGCAGAATGGAATATTTCCCCTAAAGGAGAAGAGGAGAAAAATCTCATTAACAAAGGCAGAAAGCAACCCCAGTCTTTCTGCTGTAGGAAAAGAACCTCAAGAAGAAGCCTGAACAGTCTAGGCTTTATGAATGGATATTTTGCATTCATTCATAAAGCCAGGCCACTCTATTCATAAACAAAGGGCAGCCAACAACTCTAGATAAGCAGCACAATAGGCAAGTAGGTGAAACTGACAAAACTAGCTCAGTCAAACAAAATACCTAGGATTTGCATTTCCCCTTTTGCTTGTAGAGCCAGTCGTGACCCCTACATGACTCCATAAGAACCTGGCAACAACCATTAAAATATTAAATGACATATTCATGCAGAGGAATGGGCATCACAACCCCACCCCCCCAAATTGTGTAAAATCCCATCTATTGATGCTGCTGTTACTGTTGTTTCTGGCTACTAAATAAAAGGAGACCTCCTTTCCAAAACTTCAGCCTGCCTCCAATCCCTGCATCTGTCTCCTGACTTGGAATAAGAACCAGACTGGATTTAATTTTCAAAAGCTCTCTGAGCTTGGTCGTTTTCTTTCAGATGTTTCATTACTCAAACTAGCTAACAGTATTTTAATATTTTCTTCAAAGACCAGCCCTTTATGATGAATATAAGTAAGCATTTTGCTAGTTTCTCATACTTACTGAATGCAAACATGATAAATTAGATCTTTCTTTACCCAAACTATAAAGAAAGATATCAGAAACTTTCATTTCTCTCCCAATTACCTATTGTTTAAAGTAGCATCCAAACTCTGAATTATGGGTAATCTAACTTATATTAAATTAGTTAAATAAATCATAGATATTCTGATTGGGACAATATAACCTGCTATAATTACTTAAAAATGGAAGTGATTTTTTAAAGCATTCCTTTAAAAGGAGAAGCATGGAAGCCCAATGGAGTTTAAAACTTGTTTGTGCCATTAGCGTCTTTGTTTTCTTATGGTTTCTTGTAATGTCTCAATTGATATGGCTAAATTAATGTATAGTAACTCTCTACAGATATGCAAATGCAAGTACCATTTCATATTGCACCAATTTTCCTGAAATCTTGTTAAGTTCTACAAGTGAAAGATCAACTGTATTTATTTCAGAATACAGAATTTTTACTAATCATTCAAAAATATTGATACATATTTTAATCTCTCTCCCCCTCTCTTTTATTTAAAAGGTCAGAAGAATAATGCCAAATGATACCTTTTATTTTTCTATCCTGAGACATCCAGCATTATTACTTGAATCATCTTATGTCTACTACAAAACCATTGTTCCAGCATTTAAAAAATCCAAGAATGTTAATGAATTTTTATCATCTCCTTGGTCATACTACAATATGACAGAAAAAAATAATATCTATGCTAAGAACAACATGTGGTTTGATTTTGGGTATAACAACAATGCAGAATATGATGAACATTATATCCAGTTTGTCCTGCAGAATATAGAAGAGATTTTCCACTTGATACTGATTGCTGATTTTTTTGATGAGTCAATGATCCTTCTGAAGGATGTTTTGTGTTGGGATCTGGATGATGTGATTTATTTCAAGATGAATGCCAGGAGCCAATGTAACATTCAGACTCTGAATCCAGAGAATAAGAAGAAAGTAAAGGAGTGGTGTGCTTTAGATTGGGAACTTTATAAACATTTCAACAAATCATTTTGGATGAAGATTCAGGAAAGAATGGACCTCAAAACACTATACAAAGAAATTGATCTTTTGCAGAAGAGACAAAATGAACTGATGGAGACCTGCCTCTTGGAAGAAACTGCAATTGAGGATTATGAAGTTAAAGATAAGAATATGAAGCCTTTTCAAGCAGGAAATGCTCATATCATGGGTTACAATCTCAAACATGATTTAGACAATAAGACCCTGAACATCTGTGAAAAGATGATCATGCCAGAGCTCCAATATACGGCCCATCTATACAATTCACAATTCCCATTTAAGAAGAAAAAACTTGTTAGATGAGTTCCCTTAACAATACATTTTTTCTATACTGAGGACATGGCATTCTAGATTTCAGTTTTTCTTCACCCCAAATTATATGGATTAATTTCAATGCCTTTTCAGAGTCAAAAATGAGGTGGAAATTAAAGTCATTTTTTGTCAACACCAATCCTGAAACTCTAATCTTACAGAAGTCTTAAGGAACAACAATTATAAAGTTAGAAAAAAATCTTATAGAATCATTCTCATCAACATCTAAATACAGCCACCATTGCAGTACTGTGGAGATATAGATTAAAGACATTTTTAATCTCTGGCCGTACTTGGACACACACCTCTTCCAAACAAACAGTGGACTGGATCATATCCACAGTCCTCAAATTTTCATAGTAGCAGAATTAAAGCTGCATCTAAGACCATGAATTATAGAGGAGTAACATAACATTTTAGTAATTGTGTCCAAACCCTTAATATATATATATATATATATGTTGTGATTGGAAGGATCGGTTCTGTTGGGAGTTTTGACTCTGATGACTGTTAGATCGTGGATTGACGTCAGAACCAGGAAACGTTAATCTGAAGGGCAAGCCAGTTAATTAGCACGTTGCCTTAATGAGTATAAAAGGACACAGCTGGGCTGGTGCATTTCGCCAGGAACAAAATGACTATTTTGAATGAGGACGTTACAGCAAAGAGCTCTCTGTTTGTTTGAATTTCGAAGGGGAGTCCTAACAGTTTCTGCCAGTCGTTATCTTGTTATTTCCTTCAGTTTGATTTGATTGTGAAACGGCTGCTTTATGTTTGTTCGTTTGAATTTCCAAGAGGAGACATAACATTATTGTTCCTGGCCCTCCTCGGCATTTACTTTTGGACACTCGAATTTTTCTACAGTCACAGAAGGAGGGAATTCCCGCTGTTGCGTTGGTGGACTCAGGGGCTACAACCAGCTTTATGGACCGAGCTTTTGCTATGCACTATGGGATTCCATTGGTTGCTGTACATCCACCCATTAAGGTGGAAACCGTGGATGGGCGTGAGCTCAAGTCTGGGCCCATTCGTTTTGCCACCCAGCCAGTGCGTATGATCATTGGGGATCATGAGGAGGCGATAAGTTTTTATATCACCTCGAACCTTCATCTGCCTTTGGTGCTCGGAATGTCCTGGTTGCGTTTGCACAATCCATTGGTGGCTTGGTCGCAGAACGGTATTTCTTTTCCAAGCCTCCAATGTGTAGACCACCTGAGACAATTGGAACGAGCGACGCCTCCATTGGCTGTGGGAGACAGAGTGGGGTTGTCAACGAAACATCGTCAAGTTAATCATCAGACTCGGGGGAAGGGCCCTGCGGTGGGGGATAGTGTTGTGATTGAAAGGATCGGTTCTGTTGGGAGTTTTGACTCTGATGACTGTTAGATCGTGGATTGACGTCAGAACCAGGAAACGTTAATCTGAAGGGCAAGCCAGTTAATTAGCACGTTGCCTTAATGAGTATAAAAGGACACAGCTGGGCTGGTGCATTTCGCCAGGAACAAAATGACTATTTTGAATGAGGACGTTACAGCAAAGAGCTCTCTGTTTGTTTGAATTTCGAAGGGGAGTCCTAACAGTTTCTGCCAGTCATTATCTTGTTATTTCCTTCAGTTTGATTTGATTGTGAAACGGCTGCTTTATGTTTGTTCGTTTGAATTTCCAAGAGGAGAAATAACACACATATATATATATATTTCCACACATTCCATTATTATCTTAATCGTTTCCTCCTCTGTCAGAATTTTCTCATTTTTTTCAATTTTGTGCAAATACAATTCGAGCTGCTGTTAATACATTAATCAGATGTTATCCCTTTATTATAACCTTCAGGCAAAATCCCCAATAAAAATATCTCTGGTTTTAAATCTATATGTTGTTTGATCATTTTTCCATCCATGTGTGTATTTTAGTCCAGTATCTTTTAGCTTCTGTACATGTCCACCACATATGGTAATATGATCCAGGTATCTGACAACGTTTCCAACATTTCACCAACTTGTCTTTAAACATCTTTGCTATTCTTTCTGGGGGTAAATGCCACCTGTAAAACATCTCATACAAATTCTCTTTATAAGCTGCTGACATTGTTAGTTTATAGTTTATAGTCCATAGTTTCTGCCATTTATCCAAGTCTATCCTATATCCAAAAATTTCCCCCAAGCAATCAATGTTTCTTTAACTTGCTCTTCTTCTAACTTCACTCCTAATAAATAACCATATAATTTTTTAATCATCTTCTCCTCAGTGCCTGTTAAGATTTTATCTAGCTCAGTCATTTCTTTATGAAACCTATCTTACTATCTTTTTCATATCTTGAATGAATTTGCAAATAATACCAATTTATTTTTTTTAATACCTTTATTTTACCTTTTCGGCAAGGGGAATATACAGATCTCTATCTTTTTAAATCTTTTTTTTTATTTTTTTTATTTTTTCATCCTTTTTCCATTTTATATTTTTTTCCTTTTTTCCTACATAATTGGAACCAAAAAATCTTGCCTGAAGATTTTTCCCTTCCCTCTTTTATTTTTAATTATTTTTTCTTTTCTTTTTTTACTAGAGTGGCAATTGGCTGTTCTTGCTTTTTCTTTTCAATTTTTCTATTATACCTTAAATGAGCAGAAAAATACCAGCCTCAGCTTCCTCAATCCTGACTTCTTCTTCCTCGTCATCTGGAGGACAACGATCAATACAGGTGATGTTAGAACAAGAGGTGAAAGAAGTGACACTGCAGATGATTATGCAAGGAATTCAAAAGATACAAGTAAAAACAGATAATATTGAAAAGAGAATAGAAAATATTGAGCAAAGAACAGAAAAGACAGATGAAAAAATAGAAAATATTCAACAGATGATGATGCAATATGAGGACAGAATTAAGAAAATTGAAGAACAAGATGTAAAAAGAGATAAGAAGATTGGAGATATGGATACCCAATTGAGTGAAGTGGAAAGAGATAAGGGCAGATCTCTGCAATCATTGGGATGGGAAATTGATAGATCAGAATTCTTAGATTTCAAAATATACAAGAAGAAAAGGGTGAAAACCTTGCTGAAATGATGACAGAAATCCTGGCAGAAGCATTAGAGGTACCTAAAGAGGAGATGATGGATGGAATGGATGAGGTTTTTTTGTGTTTATACAAGATATGCAATGAGAAATAAACTGCCAAGATAAGTTCATGTCAGATTTACTAAGAAAATAATAAAATCACAAATACTGCAGGCGGCAAGAGAAAAAACACTAAAGGATAAAGAAATAGTGGTACTGAAACATGTACCAAGAAGAGTGAGAGAGATAAGAAGAGAATATTTATTTTTTGACTAAGGAGTTACTTAAGTGAGGAATAAATTATAGATGGCCAATACCCGAAGGTCTCATGTTTACCTGGAAGGAACAAAGACACAGAATTGATACAGTTGAAAAAGCGGAGTTATTCTATCTGGAATATTTTAGAGGGAGGGAGGAAGATACAAGAAAAGAAGAGTCATTAATTGAATTTCAAGAGGAATGTACAGCAGTAAGTGAAAAAGAGGAAGGAGAAGTAGGTGGTGTACCCAGAGAACAATGAGAACCAAGATCTACTAGAGCAACAAATCCTTCTTACAAAGTCTAAAATGGATGAGAATTTTTTTTCAAATTTCTTATAGTCCTCTTCTAGAATCTGTTGTGTTATCTCTTTTTATGTTCCTTTTTCTTGTATAAGTTATAATCACGCTTTCTATAGGCCTTCATAGTGTCCCATACATTTTGTAATGAAGTTTCCTCCATTTTATTTTCTTTGAAAAAGAAAGCCAATTCTTTTTCCATGTTATTGGTAAATTCTTTTTCCTTCAAAATTGAATTATTCAAAATCCATCTTGAGCTTTTCTTTTGTCCCTTCCATCTGACCCATATTGGATTATGGTCCACCCAAGTAGTTGTTTCAATGTTTACTTCTTGTATATTAGAGATTAAATCCATTAACATCCAAATCATATCTATTCTTGACCATGATAAGTGTCTATTAGAGTAGAATGTATATTGTCTATTCTTGGTATTCAATTCTCTCCATATGTCTTTAATATTCAGTTCCTCTGCCATCTTAAGAAAGATTTTGGCAATGTCTTTCTATTTTTTTATTTCCTTTCTGTGCTTTGTAGTCCAATTCTGTATCTACTATAGCATTAATATCTCCAAGAATGCATATATTATCGTGTTCCAGTTCGATTATCTTTTTATATAATTTCTTGTAAAATTCTTCTTGTTTATCATTTGGTGCATATATTGCTATTAAGAGCATCTGTAAGTTGTTTGTTATTTCCACCATTAATATTCTCCCTTCTTCATCTGTAAAGATTGATTTAGCTTTAATTGTATTCTTGATATATAAAATTACTCCTCTCTTGTTTTGTTGTGCCAATGAAGTGTATAAGTTCCCAATTCTAGGACAATTCAAAACTTGTGCATGTTGTTTTTTAATGTGGACTTCCTGTAAGCAGATTATATCTAATTTAAAGAAAAAAAGTTTGATTTGGAAAAAAGGCACTTTACTAATATTTAAAGAAAACTGGCAGAAAATTACAAAAATTAAAGGGGAAGTGCAAATGACAAAGTAAAAAAATGTAGATCTAATAAGAAATGTTTTCTTTTTGGATCTACATTCTTTTGGTTTGTCATTTGCACTTCCCCTTTAATTTTTGTCATTTTCTGCCAGTTGTCTTTAGATATTAATAAAGTGCCTTTTTCCAAATCAATCTTTTGGCCTATTATTTGTAGTTCTCTTTTGAATACTTTTTCTTGTGAGACAAAATTTACTCCACATCTGTCATTGACATATTTGGAGATAGAATCAGATATCATGCCAAATCAATCTTATTTCATTCTTCAACATAGTGACTAAATTAGTAGACTAGCAAAAGTTTGGCTGAACTGGTACCTCTGAGGATCATCTGTGAGTAAATTGGTTCACTCTGATGATCAGCTGCTGGGCCTGCACACCTGCACACACTTCTATACTAATCATTATTTCCTGGTTTTGAAGCTCATCTGCTTTGCGCAGCGCAGTGGATTGCCGCATGCCAGCTGTTGAAGACACAGGGAGAGTGCAGGATTGCAGGAGAAAGTTAGTAGCAAACCTTCTGCGCACACGCAAAGCACACCTATCAAGCCACATTCACAGAAACAGTGGTAAGATAAATTGAAACCCACCACTGCAAAAGATGATCATATGCCCCAGGTCACTGCAACCATCACAAATATGAGTCAATTTTCTTTTTTAGAAGAAGAAGAGGAAGAGGAAGAGGAAGAGGAAGAGGAAGAGGAAGAAGAAGAAGAAGAAGAAGAAGAAGAAGAAGAAGAAGAAGAAGA